ATTTCAATGATGAGAAAAGTATTACGGATTTTGCTATTTGTACATAAAAAATATACACAATAGATTACATAATATGACGTGGAGGGAAAAGATCGGATGAAAAATTTGATTGTGCTTTATACTTACAATTGGTAGAGTGCTATGTGACATTATGTAAATCTTGATATACATGTAGCAAGATCTAAATATCATACCGAACAATCTTTTAGAATTACTTATAGTTGATTAAGTTCTGTTAACATACAAAAAATGAAGCTCAATTAAATGGTTCAAGAATTGGAGCTCAACTAGGGAGTTCAAGATATATGCCCAAATGAGACCATTGTAGAATATAACGGAGGCCCATAAACAAAGTACTATCATCGCCTAAGCCTGCAGGACGTTCAGGATCTGAGCGAATGAAGCGCCTTACTGTCGCTCAGAGCGATGATCCCATTATCGTCCAAGCCTTCGAGTCGCTCAAGATTTGAGCAAATACGGTGTCTTGTGATTACTTAAAACGACGGTTATTGAAGCGGTTATTGAGCAACCTTATCATTCCCCAAGATCCAAGAATCTCGGTTACAAGCCGTTAAACAACAAGAGTAATAACAACAGATGCGAACGGCAATTCCTTAACAAGTCAGCAATCACGAAGAAAGAGGATAGTTATAGAGCGCAAAGCAATATTCAAGCAGTTCTATAGAGAANGTTAAACAACAAGAGTAATAACAACAGTTGCGAATGGCAGTTCCTTGACAAGTCAGCCATCACGAAGAAAGTGAGTAGTTATAGAGCGCCAGCAGTTTCCAAGCAGTTCTACGGAGAAAACAGTCAAAGAAGTATAAAAATGAAAAGCAGACATAGAAGGAAAGACCCCGAATCAATCACTCTCAACAGAGAATATGTAATTTCAATTCATTTATTTTCTAAGTGCTAATTTTTAATTTACTTTGTGTGCTTGTGCTCCTTGGAGGCGTTTTGCTTCTTCCCAATTGTAATCTTCACAAATAAAGCACCCCTTTTTGGGACTTTGTCTTAAGATGTTTGTTCCTTACACAATCGTCTGAACCTATCTTTTAATTATTAGCGAAAATCCGCGTAAAATAATTTGGCACGCCCAGTAGAACCATTGGTGTTTGAGGATACGAAAAGTGAAGCATTATGCCTAATAAGAATTATGATAAAGAACCAGCAAGCCAATGAGTAGTCTAGTCTGTGATCAAGTGATATGAGGAGCATCAAAGCTCTCCACGAACAGAGGGACAGAGTCAAAGCAGTCAAAGTCGTTACGAGCCAATGACATAGTTGAGTCCTCGAACCATGCGCGCATTGCTTTGGGAACTCACACAGGATGTCGTTGAACAGGTAAATCTACGAAATGTTCATAATATGAAAAGATTTACCCAAAATGGGAATGCACATTATGACAACATGACCAAACAACTAAACGCGTTAAATGAGATTATGAATAAGTTAGTGGGCCAAATATGTCCACCAGTTGTACCAATAGGGAATCACTTTAAAGCCAAGACGATTGTGGGACATAATTCCCCAGGCTTGAGCCCAAATCAAGGAATAGAACAACC